GCTGAATTTTGTCTCTGACAGTTTTAAAGTGTATTGTCACATAAAGACATATAGATTATCTAAGACGATAAAGAATATCGTTTACATCTGGGATTATGATTTAAGATGACGAATTAAGTACGATCTCCGTTTTAACAATATTCAGAAGTCGTCGGACGAGTGTCGGGATTTGGCTTTCTCTCCGTAGGTATGTCGCAATTCTGCAATAAAAATTTTTACGACTTGCATTCGAAAAACTTCCACGCTTCTACTTAGCTCGGTTATATATGCACGTAATTAATTAACAATGTCATTCTTGGCCGTAATATCTTATGTGCTTAATTTGAATATGTTTTAAATCGAGGAGCCTTCATTTTTCTACACTGAAATAATTTGTAACGTGATTTATATGGAATATATAATATCATGATATATTATTATTGCAGAGACATGTGAATTCTCACGGGAAATTTTATAAACTTCACAATTGAGTCAATAATAAGCATATCTTGCACAGATAAAAAAACCTCGCACCTTTCGATTCTGCGTATAATTATCAGGCTGCTATTACGTTAGACATGTTATCAATGATTTCCTGATAAAGATAAAAAGGCTAAAATGCAATAAAATCGTTTGTCGGTAGCTCGTCGTATCGAAGTTACAGAGTACAATTTTTAATAATATTATAAATTTATTATAATAATTATAGATTTGTTATAATAATAGGCACACGCGTTATAGTGTAAACACATGATTTCTGTCTGACATTTATAGCCTCACAGAATCTAATCGACAGCTTTGTGATAAGCCAAATCTATGCCAAGGGCATAGATTTACGTCTCTATACGTATTTAGATAAATTAAGCATGACAAACTAACATGAACACTAACATTTTCAAGCAGTCAATTGTCAGCATTATTTCTTTAAACAAAAAGATCGTAGAAAAAATTTAGTATTATTTGACAATTTGTATTTGACACTTAGACATTAACTGTGAATTATAAAATTACGGGTAACGACACTTTTCACTGAATCTTCTTGCTCCTTTAAAAAAATCAAAGGGGTGCGCTTGCACTTCGTTCTACAATTCTTGATTTTGATTTTTGAATTTATCCTCACCAACTACGACTTATAATACTTGTCAGGACGCCGGTTCGCAAAATGATCGTCTATGTATGCAAATGCCTGCAAGCGCCGTGAAATGATAATTCGACTCCAGATCGAGGAACGATTCGAAATTAATCAAGCCACCGACGAACCGTGGCGAACGTGCCGTTCCGAGAATAACTATTTTAATTCAATATCCGCCGACTCGATCGAGTCAGTGTCGTCTCGTGGGTACAGGACGATATAACGTCTCTAAAAAAATGTCACCATCATCGCGAAAACGCACGTCCTTTTTTGATAACGCCAAATCTTCGCGTCATTGAAGGATTCATTCGTTTGAATTGAAAAAATACGATTTCCAGAATGCAATTACGGGATGAAATGCTGTTCAATTAGTCTCGCCGCAAGTTAACAGCGGTCCACCTTAATTGCATCAAGAATATCGGATATCATATAATTTTAAATTTAGAAAGAGAGATCAATTGTCTCATTAACGATATACATGAGAACAAAGCATTTGTCCGCAATAATCGAATCTCAAGAATTTTAATTTGAGAGATCGAATATTCCTCCGAGGACATCTGAGGAATTATAATGGACCGCATCGTATCGTTTATAAAAAAAATGAAAAATCTACCGTTCTCCAAAGTGAGAGATCGATCTCATAGAGAATGAATAGAAATGTCAAATTTAAAACATTTCTTCTATCCTAGTAGGATGATTAGTTTGGAGCGTCGAGCGCGTGCATTACTGTTCGCGGATGCAACCAGAAGACTCGACTTGCACCGCGACGTTGCGCCTCAAATAGAGCCATTTACTATTTGCCGCTTTGAATAGCGCACGTTGCAGAAAAGACACACGTGTACATTTCGAATAAGAGCGTTTGAGATATTCGCGTTGCGAAGCGCGAAAAGCGCTTTCTCGTCGTCGTCGGGCTGCACGATTCGCGCATCTCGCTACTTTGCCCTGGCCACTGGTATCGCGCCAATATCGCGATATTTGATACTTATAACGGAAGATAACGTAATCATTGTTAAGTTATCGTGACAAATAGGTCGCACTACGGCTGCGACTCTTGACCGACGCGATGCATTTTAGTCGCGCTTTCTCCGATCGATCTAACTTGCGATCATAATTCTGGTCACTTAATTATTATTTTTTAATAATATATGTTCTATTCACTGCAAATAATCCTACTTTTTGTCAATATTATTTTAATGGCGTGATAATGCAATCACGAAATTTCTATCGCATTTTAAAGCGGTTACTTCATTTAGATTGTGATATAAAATGCGACGCCAAGCGATATTTTATCGAATCTTCAATTAATACAATCTTTTAAGAGAGAAAATTAGTTATTCTTTTGTCTTTAATAAATACTTCTTCTCATTGCATTAAACATTTCTATATTCAAAATAATATCCTAACATTATTTGTCTTTTAAAATTAATAAAAAATTTTTTTAGTTTGTTATTATAATATATGTGACATATTAATTAATTGTTATTATTCTATACTATATAATATGATCGAACTTTATAATAAAATGTATTTACATCTTTAAATATATTTATTAAAAAAAACATCATTAAATATTAAATTGTAATCTATACGATTAATTATAAAATTACGCAAAAACTTTGAGAAAATCTTTGCCTCTCAAAACGATATATTATTGTTTTAATTGACCTGTATTCTTGTAGAAACAGATAAGACATTTTTACGAAACATCTAAAACATCCAGATAAACATACACGAAAAAAACAATTTTTTTAAAATATATCAAAATTTAACTATATAAATCTGAAAATAATTATATAAAACATTTATATTATCATGTTTAAACATGATAATACAATATTGCAAAAATCTTTAACATTTCAGCAATAAATTTGAATGTTCTTTATAATTATTTTGATGGCTTAATATAAAATTAAGCCATCTTCATCTGGCTAAATTTTTAGATGCTTCAGCGAAACTGTTCTTCCGTATACAAAATCTTTATTATTGAAAGACCACGTTAAATCTATTAAATCTTTAAGAAATTTCTTTTTTCCTATCTCAGAAAAATATATGCAAATGTCGAAATAAAAATATACTGAAATAATTCATTATTAGCAAAAAAAAATTTGATTCAAGGTTGAGAAAAAGCTTGTTCACGCTCTATCGTAAACGCCTAAAGAAAGAAACGCATCGCATAGAAGTTGCGAAGAAGCTAACCGGAAGGATCGTCATGTCAGGCCACCGACGAAATGTCGTTTCGGCGGAAATCCGTGCCTCGCGGAATGATATTTCGCTGGATTGGCGGGTTGCAGAAACGATCGGAGTTCGACACGATACGAGTTCGACTTGTGCTCGTATTCGGCTTCTACGAAGTTCGAGGTGTGATCGGAATATAATCGATTCGCGCGAATTATCCCGCGTGTCTCTCGCCGCCGGATTGTCGAACAAGTCCGGCGGTGTTGCGCATAACAATTCGATCCGTATTTTCCGAGCCCGCGACAATCACACCTTCGACAATCCAACAGCATATTTCCGCGATCAACCGCGATCCTCTTTTCCGATACCTGTTGATCATTGTTAAAACAAAGGATTTCTTTGCGCGCCCGGGTCGGCGTATCGTGTATTTCACGAAAAAGAAAAAAAAAAAAAACAGGGAAAAAAATAAATCGCCAAAAATTATAAAACTCATCACAGACAGCTCGATTGAGAGGGAGGTTTAATTTATTCTCATTTAAAATGCTATTTTTATATTTAAAATTGTTCGCAAGGTAGATAAATTTTTATTATGTATGTAATCATTGTATTAATTGATTACCGTAATTACAACCTATTATTTATTCCACTACATTCATCATATAGCACTTTTTTAAATTGTCACATCAGAAATTGGAAGGTTCGGATAACGCGTCGCGAGGATCAAGCGGCAGAAGTTTGACACATAATAAATTTTCGATATTAAGACTATGATCGCTGTATCAATACAGCTGAACTAAATGACAATCGCAATGGCGGCGGCGTTGGCCGTGATGAGCGATACGTTTATAATTAATCGATTTTTCTCAGCCCTCGCTTCACACTTAGACCGGCTTTTATGTCAACTTTTCAGGAGCATCAGCGAAGCGCGGCACAGCTGGAGCACAGGAGACGCTGCCTTATTCGGCCGAACGTCCTATCGCGAATCGCAAACGGAAGAGCACGACCGTGTCACAATTCAGAGAAAAGAATATATTCACCTTTAAAAGGAGGTGAGAGATCATTTGTAACGTATACCGCATACGCACGAATACATCCGGACGATCTGCGAGAGCGATAAGCGTGCCTCCATCGCGAGGTATGCGGCGATCCTTATCAGCAGACGTAAGTGAGACACATAACAGGTATAATCGCGGTGATTGAACCACACGGGCTATCTAATCACTGCGTACGTTGTGCGCAGGGAGTTTCCGAAATGCTTCAGCCGATAAATTCGCGCGTACCGCGAGATAGATAACGAAACTGAACCATAGAACCATTCCTAAATCGATCACAATTGATAGCCTTGAAAATAAATACTTCTTCTTGGCTTGACGGACGAAATATTCGTCACGCTATAAATTTCTTTGCGACAGTGCCAAAGTTTATCGGCGATAAGTTACGTTTCCCCGAACCATTTCCTCTTGATTAAAGAGCCGCGAAATGACAATTAATATGTCTCATATGTCTTCACTCGGTCGTCATTCGGTGATATTATGTGCAACTTTTTCGGAGGGAAATTTAACAGAATCAAATACGGGACGCGTTCTGAAGCGATTGCTAAAAACGTTTTCGGAGCATCCATCCGCCACGAGATAGAATTTCACGGGATTCTCGGACTATAATTTCGAGGATCGGAAGATCTCGGCCCCGGGATCAGGTTACTCCAAAAACTTACCTCTGACGCCGTTACCAGGCCGTCCGCCGCGATCAGCAGCAGGAGCAACGCACTCTTTAGCAACACACGGTTCTTCATTTCGCCGCTGGCCGTCTGTCGCGACCGGCAAGGAGTCACTTCTCGACCTCTTCGCCCTCTTCCTGACTGACCCTCTTCTTCTCGCTCTTTGCCTGCCTATGACTGTCCCGCTTCTTTCTCTCTTTCTCTCTCTCTCTCTCTCTCTCTCTCTCTCTCTCTCTCTCTCTCTCTCTCTCTCTCTCTCGCTCGTTTTTTCTCTCTCGATCGGCACTACGGGACACCTCAGCGACGATACATGGCGAGACGAAGCGAAGGAGGAATGATTTCTCCAAGGACGCGCGGTTGTCCTTCTGTCCTACGGATGACGCTCGTCGAGAGGCCTCCTCCTCGGCGGTCCTCGCGGTTTTTCTCTCGCGCGAACGTCCGCGGGCGGACGAGGTGGACGGAAGTCGACGACAGAAGGACCGACCGGGACCGGAAATCGCGGCGCGCGACCGGGACTCTCTGTCTTTCTCTCTTTCTCTCTCTCTCTCTCTCTCTCCCTCTTTCTCTTTCTTTCTTCCTTCCTTTCTTTCCCTCTCCGTTCGCTCTCTTCGCTAACAACTAGTCGCCGAGGAGGCCGCGACCACGCCGTGGCCAACAACACCGTACCGGCGTTCGGTAGCGTCTGAGAGGCCGAGCGCACCGACAAGATAAAACTTTTTCAAAAGCCCCCGTGGTTTTCCCTCTCCTCTCACGCCGGATCCGGCTCTTTCTCTCTCACCACTCGCTCTCCTCGTCCCGCGTTCGCGGCCCGACTTCCTCTTTCTCCACATTGGATTCTCTTTCCACCGGGAGGAGAGTTCGTCTTTCCCCCTCCTCCTACTCGCTCCCCCTATCGTCCCCTATCTCTCTTCTCTCCCTCTCCCCTCTCTCCTCCCTCCCTCTCTCTCTCTCTCTCTCTCTCTCTCTCTCTCTCTCCCTCTCCCTCTCCTTGTATTTCGCCGACGCGATCTCGCGGTCTCTCCCACCGCTCCGCGGATCGGCACGTTCTCTCCCTCCCCGGATTCTTTGATCCGCCGTCTCGCTCTATCGGAATTCCCTCCCGGGTCGGTCGTCTCTCTTCCTCCCTTCCTTTCGCTTCCCCTTTCGAGCCCCACTCTGGCACGCGGTGCGGACGTGCGTCTCCCTTGGACCAATGTCCCCCACGGGACTCTCTCCTCGTTTCCACCGTGGTCAAAGTTGTTCTCCGCCGCTGTAGCCGTCGTCGGGAGCGGCGGGGAGGCTGCTTAGGAGGCGGTCGACTCGCGAGCGAAGATCACGGCTGCACGTTTTCACACTCGCGCGCTCTTCGCAATCTACAGATACTCGCGATACTCTCCGATACCGTCTCGGTATCGTCCCTCTATTGAGATATACAGATGCCGAGCACTTCTCGCGCCGGCACTTTGCCCATGGCTAAATGTTCGAGCGTAATAGCGAAATTAAATACCGGTAAATCAACGTGCAGTTTGTCCGCGCAGTTTTTAATTAAACTTCTCAGATAGCGCACAATCAAGCGCAAAATCAAAATTAGAACATCAAACGAGAAGACGTCGTCCAAAAAATGTCTCTAATAAAAATGTCTTTGTGATATCTTTAGACGTCTTTAAGACGTTCCGTATTTGTCCCGTATTTTGGACTTTGTGTTACTTCAACTGAAAGCTGAAATCTAATTAAGAAAGCCAAAATAATAATACACGCATGAGTAAAATCAATCTTTGACAAATGGACGTCTTATTTAATCGTGTAGTTCTCTAATCGCAATGTGTTGTTTATATATAATTTAGTTGCATTTGAATTATGTCAATATATTAAGTATCAGCCATCTTTATGGACATTCAAAATCTTAAACGTTAATATGCAAAAACCGCATATATAAATATTGTGATACTCTGATCAATATGCTATTATTGATATGATATATTTTTAGTATTGTTTATCGCAATTTGCTTTAATTAAAGCAGACTAATCTATTTCTAAGCATCTAATTTATTTCTGATCAATATCTAGTAATGGAATATTAAATTATTTATGTATTTGAGATTGTATAAAAAATTTACACAATATTAAAGTTAAAATCGAACTGGGTTTCTGGAATATTGTGATAATGATACCTTGACCTTTCAAGTAATTTTAATTTATTATTGTAATTTAATTGCTGAAATTATTTTCAAGAATTTAATCTTTACAAATAAGATAGATTTTAATATCTGAATTTTCTCGGATAAATTGCTCTCTGGAAAATTGGATAAAAAGAAAGATATTATCATATACAATCGATACATAAATAATTTGATGAAAAATGTTATATAAAATGTGCGTTATTGAGTTATTTTACGACAATTGCGTTTCGCGTGAAACGTAACCGGGTGCGGTTAAATCGCCGACCTGCACTGCTTTAAGGAAATGCCATTGAAAAGAACATGAAAAAAATGGTGTTGCCTCGTGAACTCGTAGCTTCGCAATGGTCCTTTCTCGCCTTCATCGTTTTAATAACGCTCAGTAACAGACGCAAGGGAGATGATCTTTTTTAAACGGGTCAAGCGTCACCACACAAACCGTTCCTCTGTCGTCATTCGCGCCCCATCCCGTTTTGCGTTGCATCCGTTTCGCAGCATCCAACAAACGAGATGCATCTGTTAGCATATGCGTGAAATCTCATGGTATTCTCGATATAAATTTAGGCCAGATACACATGGCGTCTCTCGCAACGGATCGACAACGGTTATCTTGAAAAATGCTACGTTACATTAATGATGTAGCGAAATTGCATAAAAATAATTGAGCCAGTTAAAATTTGAGATCGTAACAAATATTTCAGAATGCAGTAATGCAATTATCGTAATGAAATAATCTCTACTAGAGAGATAATCATGAATCGGAAAATTTTGTTAAAAAAAGAAAAATCGATATGAGATCATATATCGTATTCATAATTGCTTTTTTATTTTCTAAAGATTTTTTAAATTATTCTCTAATGTAATTAGACATCAATTACTTTAATCGATTAATGCAAGAGTGTCATAAATTAGAGTGTCATTTATTATATACTTGTTTTTATAGCAGCGAATAGATTATCAATAATTGAACGAACAAATGTATTATTAATCAACTAATAAATTAATAACCAGCATTTGTATTTTTAATTAACATGTTATCGAAGTAATTGCCAATGATAAAAGTCCTCGAACTATTTTTTCATATTAATAATTAAAATTATTAATTCTGTTATTATAGTAGTTATATGAATTTCAGAAGAGACATTCAGAGAATAAATTTGCACAAATTTACAACCAATTAATTATATCATGTTATAAGTTACATAATATCATATAAATTTAATATTACGAAATATAATTATGTATCATAACTATTAACATCACAACTTATACATATCATTGTTAATAATTTTGTGATATATTACAAAGAAGAAAATACTCTTGTAACTTTATGCGTACAACCGTATTGTTTTATCATTGTCTTTTATCATCCCACTAAAATGTGACCTAGTCTTTCTTCTAATCTTGTAATCATAGCAACCGGCGATATGTATAGATCGATATTAAAAACAAACTTTTACACCCAAAGTAAACCCGATTGGTATTCGCGGCTGCGAATAAGAAAATATCTTGGTGCCGGTAGCGTTGCGTCAAGACTAAAGGAATGTCGGCCGCGATCGAACAACAAATCTTCGAACAAAAATCTTCGCTGACAAGGATTAATCCTTCCGATCGCGAGATTAAGATACACGGGACAGCACGTGAATCGTGTTAAACTGGCACGTGGAGACTTGCGAAAGGGTGCGAACGTGAACGCAAAGGCTATCACCACCAAGGTTATCGATAATACCAAAATAAATCTCAGGAGAAACGTAACAAACCTCGTTGACCCGATGATTTACGATGCGACAGCCGTATGGGCCACGATCGCACGTGCCGTTCACAAAGCGTCGAAAATGACCGCCCCTTTTTTTTTCACGTCTACACAATTTTATTTTCCAAATGTTATTCGTCGAATAACGTGTAAATCATTGTACGTTACGGCCTGACACAATGGCGACGGTGTATACGTAATAATGGATATATACGTGTGACCTTTAAAGAAACGCGTAATTTATCATTTTATGAATTAATCTTTCATACACAGATGCAATCTCTGTGCGATGGTACACACATTTTGCAGAGTGATATTTCTTACTAAAACTGAAATAATTTTCTTCTTCTTCTTATATTAGGGATAGCTCTGTTTTTTTTTTTCCACCTTATTAATCTTCTTGTTGTCCTGTGATGAGGATGTCCGGATTCAGCCCATCTCTTTGGAAGTCTACTCACGGATCTTCGGGTGTTTGGCTTTCCTTCGGCTGTTATTTCTATTAGTCGGTTGTCATCGCGTCTCTTTTTAATTTCAGGGAGTGAACACATGTCACGATTCTTTGTCTATTAAGTTCCAATATAATCTCCTGATCTTTGTTGTTCCATAAGTTGTTCCAGCATTCTAGTTGTATCAAATTTGTCTCTTCCCTGTCTCGCCTTCCTTTTCGTGTACCAAAACTCGTTCAGCTTCCAAAGGTTGCGTTGGTTTTCTTTGAGTATATTTTTTATCAAAGATAGGCCTCTCCTTAGAATATTCCTTCTTTATCTGGGCTCAGGACCCAGGTGATATTCATTAAGCTACTTAATCCACCTAACAACACATCCTCCAGAGGCGGAGTTTGAAATAATTTTTCTTTTCCAAAAGTGTTCTAAAACGCACATTTCATAATTTCGTAATTTACATTAACATTGTCTCGATAATCACGTTTTTAAAACTATTTTATTAAATTGGCTATGAAATTAATTGATAAACAATATTTTATTTATTTTTGTTCCTGCTGCACAGTTTGCCAAAATAATTTTATTTGAATTAACTTTTAAATAGATTTCTAAATTAATAACTTTAATTTATAATGAAATTCTACTTTTTAATTTATAATTATGCTCAGTAATAAAATATTTGAAGAATACATACATATTACAATTTCATAATATCTATAGTTAGATATTCAAATGCGAATTACGGTCTATAATGAGTTATTCACGTATCAATATCCTTGTATAGCAAACACTATTTTAGATGAGGAATATTGCATACTCTATATCTTGCAGCTTTCTATAAACATATCGATATGATATTTCAAATTTATTTAATAAAGTATTTTTACGCAGAAAAAAAAGAATTGACAGGAAAGAACTTTTCGCGAAATAAAAAGAATTGCCAAATTAAACGAAATCATCGCTCGAATTCGGTCGTCTATAAAAAACGTGAAAATTATTTATATTACTTTAGTTACTTGTGAATAAGTAAACGTTTTATTATTTAAATTATGACTGACAGCAATTACGACAGACTAGATTGCAAATTGAAATCAAGTTTACGGGAACAAGCAGCTTGAACAAGCTTATCAATCTGAATCATTTATAGCTGGTCGAATTATGTCACAAGCTCAAGGAAACTATTTATGGGGTCAGTTTGGTTACTTGTCGAGTAAAAGTTCAGGAACATCTAATGTCCCCGAATGTCATGTGCTCATTTATTTTTAAACACAAAATTGCTTGCAAATATTTCTAGCATATCTTTTCCTTCAAAATACGTAAATAGTAAAAACAATTATGATAAAATTGTATTATTTATAGACTGTCTCATTTATCATCCTCGATATTGCATCAACAACAGTTTAACTCTCTAGCCGCTTTATTCACTTGCATTGCTCCAAATACTTGTGTGCTTAAGAGAGCATTTTATATCTGATAATTCCGTGACATAAAGTAAATGATTAAATTAGGTAATTTTATTATTGGTAATTAAATTAGGTCTGATTTAAAAATTGCATCATATATATGGAGTATCATACTTTAGGGCTAACCGAGTGAATATGATTGAAAGATTAACGTCAATCGTTCAAAACACCATGTTCATCGTTATATTCAATTACAAATGTTATTTTATTATCACATGTGTTGTCGATACATGTGGTTACGTTACACCGCCGACAGTAAAACGTAGGAAATAGCAAAATATATGTATTCACATTTTCGCTTTACGATCCGAATCAATTTTGATTAGGCAAAATAATTATAAGCCCGGATTCGTATTTGTTAGAATAATAAAATTAACGTAGCAATAAGAATCGCATGTAATAAAAAGCCAGTCAAAATGTTTCTCATTGTTTATGTAAGTACAATCATCTGATTCTAAAACTACACATCTCTTACATTTTTAGCTACATCTTCGATGCAATCGATATTATCGATATCAAGATTTTTCTCTAACGTAAACAGATTGAGCATAACAATCTACATCTTTATACAACTTCTGTCTGCAAAATATGGGAGCGTAAAATAACATAATTGGAATTTGTTAAATCATTATCGCGAAATTTAAATTATATATAAAATTTCTGTCCCAAAAATGTGCAGAAATAAATTATATGTTATCTCAAAATTAAAAAATTTTTGTATTAGAGAAATTATTTGTTTGCATTAAATAATCTTTTTCTCATTATTATATAAGCAGGCCGTTGTATCGAAACATGAAAATCATTTGCACGACGTGTAACGAACGTGTAGATATTGTATTCAAGATACTTCTTTTTTCAACAAAAAGATATTTATCGTGTTTTACCATTTTATTTTTTTATTATGGCAGTGAGGAAAATTATTTAAAATAAATATATATAAAAAATATATTTAGAATAACATTAACATAATTAATCTTTTTAATTGTTATTAAATTATCTTTTCATGTTAGTTAAAATTCAAAATTGAGAATGTCAAGTTGAAACTCACAGAAATATTTAAAATATAATTATCTTAAAACATTTTTCAAAAACTACGTTTTTCTTTTTTTAACATTGCCATTCAAGTGTGCTTATTGTAAAGAAGCCCCACTTTTTATGTCACTACGCAACAATTCAAATGGTGCAATCATCTGGCAAAATCGCATTGCGTGCTCATTAATTCAATTATATTAATTAGCGAACAAATTGACGGTTTACAAGTTATTTGATGCTTTTTCTTATAATCGATACATACTTAGGCTGCAACGAAGAATATAAAAGCTAAGAATGCACAAGCTAATTAGTATTATATGATCGCATATGATAATCGCCCATAGTTACAATAGTTCACGTATGCAAAACAACATAAGTCTTGCCAGTTTAGATGACAATCTGTAGTTAAATTAGTCTCTTTGTTAAAGTATAAATACTTCCGTTTTAAATGCACAATTCCTTATCACTGCATCGGAGTTAAATAATAGATCAGCATGTACGGTTGTAATATATATGTAATACTATTTTATTCATGCAATAAACATATAACCAGTCCTATCCATCCCTATCACAAAACTGAAACATAGTAGGAAACAAAGTCTCACTTAAGGTAAATGTATCACAAACATTGTGTCCGACGACCAGATTAATATTATAAAAGAAAAAGAGAGGAGAGTGATAAAGATGAGCGTGACTAGTATATTGTTACATTATCCTCATTACAAAAGTATTAAACTTATGAAATCTACTACACGCAGTTCGGTTAGTTTTTATAGGATTTGACTGCAAAAACTTGTTAAACTAACAATTCTATAATTATCGCAACGTCAATTCATTAGCATATATGCAAGAAAAAAAGATTACGAAAAATTATACTTGAAAAAATTTAAATATAATTATTCTACAAAATATAGTATATGTTACGGTAAAGATTTAAATGTTCAAAAAACTCAATATTTTCTGGAGCAGATATTCATGAATTTTTTCGGTTTTTAACACGCTACAAATGTTCGCGCATCTTTTTTTATGCATAAATGCGATAATTTATGAGATTAATATATATTTTACCATAACCAATATTTTTATAACGAATACATGATATTGGATTTCACACTCATATACGCAATGCAATTTTTGTAATGAATTTAACACGAATATTAACAGATTAATTATATGAATAAGTATTTATGCTCTTTTTACGAGATTATATATATAATATATATATATATAACAATTTTTAAAAACACGATGTAAAATATATCACATGAATGGCGTTAATAACAAATAGTTCATGATGTTCTTCACAATTTATCGATATGAAGTGATAATATTAATGCAATGTACAACCCGATAAACTGTAATTGTAAATATAAAAATCAGAATCATAAATAAATATTATATACAATTAAAATATGATACTCATATGTAACTCATATAATATTGAAATATCATCTATTTATCTTTAAATATCAATGAGAACATAGTACAATATAATTATTTATATCAATATTAATCTTATGACAAATAAAAGTATCATCTGTTAAGAATGAAGATGTATTATTGTAAGTTTTTGTGCTTCCCACTTGTACAGTCACTGATGTATTAATAAGATAAATAATATTCGAACTTTTATATCGGAAATACTTAACATTTAATTAAATCTGTAAAACATTAGTATATGTTATTTATGATAAACGATATAAATGATTTCAATCTTTTTTTCAAAAAATTATCAATAAAGCAAAATATTAAATGCTCAAAAATCCGATAATAAAACTCTATTAAGCACAAAATCAGCACATAATCACACTGCAAATTTCTTGTCTTATTAAAGAAGTACATGGTATATTTATTCTTATATAATACTGTAAATGTGATTTTAGTTTTATGCAGACTGTCTCACGTTAATTTCAAGCTGTGTGCTGTAAGTTTTAATACATATAAAGGAATAATTATTAAAAAATTCGTTAATTTTTCGATTCTTAAATGCAATCTTATTAATAAACTTATTTTCTGGAATGCTGCGTCTATAATACTTTTGTTTTGACATCAATGTATATCGTAAGTTAATTTTATCAAATGTTAGTTGCTTTTATTACAACGTATCTGTTCATTTGACAAGCACGATATTCAAATAACCGGTATAATTTTATTGTGCTAAATAATGGCAGATTCAGCTGAAAAATATCTCAATATAATATAAATTGGAAAACTCAAGTTATAGAAAAAGGGAAAGAACTGTATAAATGGAAGAAATTATCTAAAATTTTGACGAATTAAATGATGTTACTGGTTAATATTTCGTCATACAAAAAGTAATTTGTAGTTTCTTCATCTATAAATCATATGAACTTGTATAGATAAGAGAAAAACGTTATAAATACTTCATGAACAAGTTATAGTTGATGCAGTTAATAAAGCGTATTGAAAATCTCTTTTTCGTTGTGTTAATACAAGATATGCAAATTAAAACAATATTAAAATGAATGCAGAAATATGTCCAACTCAATAATAGAAATTGCGTTTTTTCTATAAATCCATATTTCTCTTTATAAATTATAAAAAACTCTTTACGTATTACATGTATACAATTGTATTTAATGAGATTTCTCAATATTTGTCCAATCAAGAAATATAGAAAAGGAACCTCATTCATCTCATTCAATTCATAGCCATTAGCACAATACAAATTAAGAGCCTAAGGAAACTTAAACTTTTTCTAAAGTTTCGATCGTTTCACCATTAGCCATTCTATTACTAGCTTTATGTCGATGATTGTACATCGTCTGCAGAGGTACATGAAGTAACTCCACAATTTGTATAAAGTTAGGCTCTGTAACAAAAGTGAATGGGAAAATTAGTATTGCATATCGTGTCTTTTGCAAATTATATTCAAATGTTCCGAGTGAAGAAAAATATTATGCGTGACTATCTTACCATTTTCTGCTGTAATGTATCCATGTCTAATTAAGAAGTCAAGGGCAACTGGTACAGAAGTGGTTTTGAAATGTGGCGAAAGTATCCTCTCTAAGCATTCACTAACTGGGAGTAATTCGAAGGTCTCTACTTCTCCGTCACTATTGTTTGGTACAAAGTCGGGCGGCAGTTCAAGATCATATACAAATTCCGTGTTGGGAAACAGACCTCTTTCACTTTCAAAAAAGAACGATACGCAACCGGCGCTCTTGAGATTGGCAATAAGATGATTTGGGATTCCCGCCTCCTCGCCGGCTTCTTTTATTGCGGTTTCATTTATACCATAACCAACAGTCAATCCACCACTCACCATGCTATCCCAGTATGCAGGCCATGTCTGTTTGTTTGGACTACGCTTTTGCAACCATATTGATAAGCCCTTAACAGGATCCATTACATAGCCATTTATATCCACTCCGTATTTCCGAATTCCAAATAAACCTATTATTTCAAAAGATGTATATAATGCATTGCAATCGTATTCAATTTACTTTTCGCTTTCTTTCTTTCTAATACATACATGTAGCCGAGCGATCCATCTTAAACAATGGTAGTGTATTGAATTGTGCACGCACTTCATGACATTCCTCTCTCCAGCCTCGTAGCGTTACAAACTTTCCACCTGCCATCCATTCCCTTAATACTTCATCAACACGGGCACTTCTCTCAGCATAATCTCGAAAAGCTGGATTTAGTTGCACATACTCGGGATGTACTTGAAATACCTTTATTAAATTAAATTAATGAGGAAATTAATGAGTTAATAAATACACCAACGTTTTGATTTAAGTTAATACAATAGAGACAAACTCACTTGAGGATGGTTTAATATTTCTTTCATCACATCTGGACGTACAAGACCAACTTGCTGTCCATCCACAACAAAAGCTCTGCATTCCCCTGCATGTAAACCTAAAGAATATACTTTCTTATAAAATTTATCAAAAATACTACATCATAAATTTCTACATATATTGCTAAGAATATTGTTATAAAAAAAAAATTACAAAATGCTGTCAGAGAGTTATATTTGGGAAAAAAAACAGCATGCATATTGGATATAACAAATTCTCATAAAAGATTCTAAATGTAAACTTGATTAGTATGTTTTTTTTTTTTTTTTTTAAAGTCTACATTGAAGCTATATTGAAGTTTTTGATTTGCCGCTATCTCTTCTTGTTCAAAACAAATGTCAGATGTATGTCATTGCAAAAAGGGAAAGAGACGATCTCGCTGTTATTTCGCAGGACAGTCCTCACGGTTGTCAATGACGCAAAATTCAAGAGGGACGCGATGGAAGCGCGCGACCGTTTGTCAATAATCGCGCCTATGATACGCGTTCAGGAATTATTTTTTTTTTCCTTTCCTCTCTCCCTATTATTTTCTTCCGTAAACGCGAGCGACAGATACACACGACGCGAGATCAATAGTCGCAGGGGTCCGCGCGAACGACGACCGCGTCGTTCCTATCGATCACGCGACCGGGAGACGCGTCATTCAAGATAATACACGGTGATGCAGGCGTGACCCGTCGTGTTCGCTTACCTGACAGGTAGAAGCAGTTAAACTTGTTCGCGAGTTTCATTAAACGTGACATCGGCTTCTTATCGTTATCCGCCATGATGTTTCGTCGTTGTCATCCGGCCAGCTGCGACGAAACCCTGGCATCGAGCACGTAACGCGTGTCAGACGGGTGCCGGGAACGGTTATTTCTGCGCACCTGCGCTGTGCGCCGGCGATTGGCCGATCTGCCGACGCGCTTGCGCCGCCAGCCAATCAGTGGCCGCCATTCGTGTTACTTGGGGACGCCGCTACGTCGCCGTTCGCCGTTCAATCTGCGCCGCGAAACCAACAATCGGACAACGTTGTTGTGTATAGTATAATGATGAAACAGAGGGAAATAAGAGGAATCCTCGCTCAAGCGAAGTCAAATCTTTCCGTTATTGCGAATTGAACGTAAAAACAAATGTAATTGATTATTTGTTCACGAGAGCAACGAGATCCTCGTCTTCATTTCCATTGTTTCTGTCGGTCTTGTTTTTCTCCAAGAATGGGGCGTAGACATGAATATATCATAAGTAGCATGCGTGCGCACGATTGCGTCTAGGAAACGTGCGCAATTTTTTTTCTTTTTGCAAAAGTCTCGATGAATCGAGATTTGAAATTGGCAAGTTCTTAGCAGAATGTCTGAATCAGGAAGTTACTTATTTTTAAATAGTTTATTGATCTCATTTTCACAAACAATAATAAATAAAAAAAATCTATGCGCAACTTACATATTTGCGTTTCCACGAGATACGTGCTTTGTATCTTTTTTTATTTTTCTTCATTTGTTTCAGAAGCCACGAATCAAAAAAGATTTTTAGATAATAGCTCTTAAAAAAAATAAAAAAATTAATACTTATATTTAATTTTTTTATGATTTAACTCTATTTATTTAATATTTCAATAAATGTAAAATATACGTTTCTTTCTAAATTTCTTTTGTTACAATTATATAATTAAAACATAGTCTTAAAATGTAGCCTCTATTTAAGCAAATATGTAAATTCGAATTCTCTCAGATTCAGCTTCTAGAGAAATGAAAAAGAAAGAAGAAAAAGTGCAAACCATTTATTTCGCGAAAATGCAAACGTACCGTATAGATTCTTTTGTATTCGTTGTTATAAATAAAATTACAGTTATTTGAAAGCAAATAACTTCCTAATTTAATCGTTCTACTAAAAATTTGCAGATTTCAAGTTTTGTTTCATCAAAATTTTTGCAGGAAAGAGAATCACGCGCGTTTCGAATCATATTTGTGCGCACGCGCATTACTTGTGATATATTCATGTCTATGCCCCGATCTTGAAGAAGAAGAATGGAAAATCAAGAGGGAAAATTCGCTCTAATAAGAAGATGAAATGAATAATCAATTATGTTTGATTTTATGTCTTAAAAAGAAAAACTAAATCTACGATCGAAGACTTCTTACGATTTCTCTTTGTTTCGTTGCGAGCAACAGCCACTGATTGGTCGGTGGTGCAAGCGTGTCAAAGAATCGGCCAATCGCTGGGGCGCAGTGAGTGTACAGAAATAATCATTCTCAATAGCTGTCTGATTCGCGTTCTGGATATAAAAATTATTGTAATTATTTTCTGACTGAATGTTGCATTCTTTAAATTCAACAATCTTGCTTTTTAACGTGCTATCTAATTTCCATCTTTATTCTTCTTGTTGTATAACAAAAGTTGGGATAAACCCGTACTGTCTAAGATCTATTTCTTTTAATAAACTTTTTGCACTGTTTATCTTTTTTCTTCTTTTTCTAGTGCAAAGAAAAAACGAATAGTGTAAAAAGTTCAATTACAAAAAACAGGAATAGATTCACACAGAACATCGGATATCATTTTATCCATGTTGTTTATTGAATGTTACAAGAAGCTTAATTTTTTTCAACTGAATTTCTTGCATAGTTCATCTTTCTTTTTTTTTTCTCGAACATGGAAAGAAAAAGAGAAAAGATGAACTGTGCAAGAAGTTCAGCTAAAAAGAACAGACCTGAGATAAAATGATACTTGAGTGCCCAATGGCCGTTGGCTGAACGCAGCCAATGATACCCAAATGTATTTCTGAACGCACCATTCGACATTTCTCACACCAACGAGACACTGAATATCGTTGTTTCTCCCTGATCTTTGTTGCCAGATTAAAATTAAAAGAAAAAAAAAAAGAATAGAAAATTATTCGCAATGTCTGAAATCTCAGAGTCAGACTCAGAATATAATTCGTCTGATGAAGAGGTGAGTATCACAATTTCTGTTAGCATCTATCGTCGACACCTGCGTGTTCTAACCTCGTTTTATTCACGTGTTCAGCTGCAAGAAGCCTTCGCTCAAGGCCGATTAAAGCCGGGGCTTAATGTCGCGGAAGAGAGTAGCAAGCAGCCTAAGAATCACGTTGTAAGTCATTATTTTGACATTAGAAATTTTTGCGAATATATTTTGAAGTTGTTTTCTTCGACATAACCTAATTCGAACTTTCTGTACAAACAAATTATAGAGTCTCATGAAGCAAAAGTTGGAAGAGATAAAGCTGAATTTGCCATGGATCGAAAGACTGGATATGGTAAACGCGCTTGCACCATTGGCACCGGAATTAGCGCTACAAATGCAGGAGCAGGAAGTAAGACGAGCTAAACAATTACAAGGAAATAAAAAGTTACCTCAGTACAAGCCATCTGAGGATCCTGTCTTGGATGATTTTCGCAGAGAAAACACATTTCACCGTCAGGCTCAGGGTGCTGTTATGGATGGCGTAAATAGATTAAAGAAACTGGGTATACTGACAACGAGGCCAGATGATTATTTTGCTGAGATGGCCAAGTCTGACGAGCATATGCAAAAAGTACGACAAAATATATTGAAAAGGCAGACTATTGCACAGAGATCAGAAAAAGTAAGACAAATGAGACAGCAAAAGAAAATTGCAAAGCAGATGCAGGTTGAGGCTACCTTGAAAAAGCATGCGGAGAAAAAGAAATTGCTTGAAGAAGTTAAGAATTATCGTAAAGGTATACGAAAAGATCTTGATTTCTTAGATGACAAAAAGAACCACAAAGCAAATATACCAAATCGCAAAAATGAATCCAAAAGTACAAGACAAAAAAGAATATAGAAGGATAAAAAGTTAGGTTACGGTGGTAAAAAGCGCGGCGGTAAATGGAACACGAGGAGCAGTTCCGCTGATATTTCCGAATACAAACGACCACAGAAACCAGGAGAAGGCAGAAAGGGAAAGAGTGGGAAAGGAAAGCAAAGATTAGGCAAAAGTCGTAGGGTACAAATGAAAGCAAAAAGAAAATCATGAAAGAGCTTTATCAGTGAGTTTACTCTCCTATGATTTTTGTACATATTTCAACAAAAATAGTGTGATTGAAATCTCAATCAATAATTGTTTTGTAAAATTTTGTGATAATAAATTACGTTTTACAGTTCAACTTTCCTGTCTTACCTGTTATCCAGAAATTTGGTGAAATATAAAAAAATTTATGATGATGGACGTCAATCTTTTTTCACAATTAGATGCGAGATGTGTGAAATGAGTGTTTTCTGAAATTTTCAATACTCAATAAACGCTGCTACATTCAGATGTATAATTGCATCGCGCAAATTCACGGCGCTTTGCTTCAATTTTAGTTTTACACGATTGCATGGTAATTAACGAGCGATATTAATTTTAATAATAATTTGAATAATAGCAATTTATTTGAAATTGGTTGACGATTTTAAATTCAGAATTAAAATTTCAGCGGAAATTGCGCGTATTGTGCATCGCTGAGAGTTCCGATTGGAAAACCACGCGACAAAAATGATCGCCCTTAAATTTCCGTCCGCACGTACGTACACAATGACGAGGAAGAGCGCGCCTCGACGCGAAATTCGCGCTGCAGAATTCGATCGCCTAACACATGTCCCGCATTAGACAATCCGTTGTATGTACACACGGCGCTACACGCGTAGGATGCCGATTACATCGTCTATTACACCCTCCCGTGAATCGTGCGCACCGATACACATGTATGAGCGCGACGCGCGACGCTCTCGCGATGCTCCTCGTTTTCCCATGCGAGTGGTCCGCCGTTTCCGCCGGCTATCGATGGTCGATCCATGGGTGGATATATCCCGGCGTCGATAACGATCCGGACCTGTCGTCGTTCCTCTCGTAGGCCGAGTCTATCATTTGGACGTGCCTTGGCGAGCGTGGATTGAAAATTCGAGGGGCGCGTCCGTACGTGCACGTTCAGGAAGCGTATATACTAGGTGATGTCTAGGAAGATGTCAAAAAATTTACCGCATACGTGAGTTTTCGGTGTATAAATGAAACAAGATTCGATTGAGAAATCATTTACCATTTACCAACGTAAAAGAATGGATGTTGGAAGATTACATTTTTAAATTTTGATAGGAGACTACACGTATTTCTCTAAAATCTAAATAAAATTTTAACTTGCGATTGATTTTTTTTTAACGTGAAGCTTATCCTACTTTAACTGTTCATTCTCGAAATGAAACATGCAAATTATCGTAAATAAGAAATATCTCAGATAACAATGATCGAATCCTGGGCACATCCGTCTAGTCTGGTTCACCCGATATGAACGCGGTTCACGTCCGTCGATGCTTCGAATTATCGAAGTACGACTTCGTGCTTCGCAGAGTACTGGATAATAGCGTGATTGGGCTTCGTATGTATACAACTTGTTATTTGACGGGCGGAAATACCCGTTGTTGCGAATTGCATACATAAGGTTCGAATCCTCTATCACAATTCTAAATACTAAATATCAGATATACATATATATATATATTTTAGTATATAATGTATAATATATTATATATTAATATAAATATATTAACACATCACACATACACACGCGCGCGCGCGCGCGCGCGCAAATAAAGACAGTTAAAAAACATAATTAATTACACAATAAGTTAATAAATTATAAATTATAAATAAAAGTTGATAAATTATAATAAAATTTTTGTTTTCTTAAGACACATGTTGTGTGTAATTAAATTTACGAAACTTTTTCGAAACAGTCTCGGGAATCTAATTTATTAATTTTTCTTCATTAAATTTAAAAAACATATATTAATTATTAGTTTATCACGTTTGACAGTTACATATACATAAAACAAATTTTTAAAAACTCAAATTTTTTATTGCGCGTTCGCCGCGGGTTATTATATTTAAATCCCGGCAACATTCTCCATGTGTGCGCGATGCATTGTCCTTCTTCGTTCCGGTTGATGCACATGAGAGATTCATCCTGGGAATCCGCTATCTGAATAACAGCTGTTTTCGTCCGGGCTTTCGACGTATTTTCACCTTTTTTGCGCGGTCCGAATCTAGGCAATTACATACGTGTCACAGGGATGACGTGTGCGTGTGTAGTCGGTACGCGCTGTTTTTGGTGGTCGCTTTCTTAGTCTGCCTGTCGTTTCTGTCTGCGTTCCGCAGTGCAAATCTGTATGCTCCGTTTAACGCGCATCCGAACATCCGTAAAAATGGCGGCGGGGGCGCGGATCGCGGAGAATGGACGGATCGATAGAGGAATCGACGGGAATTCATTTGTGGCGAGGCGATGTATCTCCAGTCTCTCAAATCGGGCGGGGAAAATGGGCTTCGAAATCGTTCAATTCCTTTTCTGTTCTTGTCCAAGATACGGATAAATCCACGGACGCCCAATTCGCGACCGGCCGCATCTGTAATCTGGACCGTCATATTTATAGCCGGGATATATATTTCCGGACTTGTCGCGATTTTGCGGAATAAATCCGGGGGGTTTTTTTTTCTTTTTTTTTTGTTATCCCGTGCCATTCGTGCGCGTACATATGCGCATATGTATAGGGGGAGAGAAACGTATGGAAGAGAGACCCAGACGAATATGGGCGCATCTCGCGAGCAGATATTTGTATTGACGACAACTGCAGCGTGACACGTATCCTCCGACGGTTGCTAATGGGCGAAATTTGTTTCGCCCATTGTCTGCGGGCGATTTGGCCGATTTCAAATTTACTGGAACCGTTACATATCGTACGTAGTATGGCCGATTGTGCGAATGTATCTGTACACCAGACGGCAATGAGCCCCACGGAAATGTGACGCGTCGACGATTCAATATTCATCTCAATTATCCATCTCCGATAGCACTTCTAAAATGATCCTACGTATTACAGAACGTGGCACTCTCTCTCTTCTCTCTCTCTCTCTCTCTCTCTCTCTCTCGATCGCTTAATCGATATTCATTTCGCGGTTTACGATCACCGCTGTCATAATTTATCGACTCCCTTAAAAATGACTTGTAAAAAAGCACATGTGTGACGAGCACCGACGGCCAATAATCAATTTGGATTTTTTTTTTTTTCCTATGATAATTATATGACATACTGATTATTATTGACATATGATTATCGAATTACGATGTTTTGACGTTTCATGTCTTCTTTTTTATTTACGATATTAAGGTCGCACAGTCGAGCGGAGAACGAACGAAATTTGCGTGCGAAACTCCGCTCCTCATGTCGCTCTCGTCGGCAGAAATAGCGGCCACGTGCTTTTCGACACGCTAACGAGCTTTCTGGGAAGCGTAAAAATCGCTGCGTTACACGTGCGTATATGCATGCATGCGTGCGTGCGTGCGTATGGCCCGGGATAGTTTATAGGGAATAATACAGTTGCCGCGGTGGATGCGCGGGGGATAGTTGGCCGTAGGGTACTTCTGCATGCTCTCGCATGGTGTGTACCATAAAGCTCGTAGTAAATCGACTATGCAACCCCGAGCTCTCGTGTTGCACGTACGTGAGGATGAGGACGGAGACGGAGGGGGGGGGGGTGGGTACGCGCGGCGGTGCAGTAAGAGACGCGGGAAAGGGACGCGGAGGCGCCGCGCGGAGAGGGAGATGGGAAACCATTATTGAAATGCAGTAAATGGCCGTGAGTTTCAATTGCCCCTGGGTGCTTCCACTGTGCCCTGCGAAAGAGCGTAGCGTAAGAGAGAGGAAGGAGGCGGACACAGGAGGCACAGGGAAAGGCGTTCTCCCCTTACTACCCCTCGCTACTGCACCCCTGCGAGCGCCCGTCTGACCCGGCTCCGCCGCAGAGATGGAAGAGAATTACGAGCGTTCGCCATGATTCCGCTCTTGTCGGCGCGCGAAAACATACGGGATCTAGAGCGACCGATATAGCCGTCACGGTGTGACGATCAATGCGTTTTGGCTTGTTCTTGCCGGGCTGAATCGGATTGTCCCTAGAAGTAGCTCTCTCTCTCTCTTTCAAATCTATTCGTGACGATTTGTTTTGACATGAAATCTTGATGTATATTCAGTGCATATTTCAGTGTACACTGCCGAGATATACGCGAATGTCTGAGAATAGCCATTGTGTAGCCATAGCACTGTACGGGGAGGCAAGAAGAACTTCTTCTCGGAAGGATAAATCGCGTTGACATTTATTCTTGGATACTCTTTCATACGCGGCCTCGTGTATGTATTCGAGAAGCAGCGTTTGAACGGAAATATCGTGTGGCTGTTGAGTCTAAAACCTACCCTCGTGTTCTGTTTTATAAAATCTACTTCGATACGATACTACTTCATGCGATGTGTGAAACTAGATATATGAGGAACTTTTCAAATTACACGTAAGCTACACCGCGATGTAATTAGTTTTAACTTTAATTACTAGTTTTTGCCATTTTATATGTGGACGTTCTAATTTGATAAAAATATTCTTTTTTTTAAATGTCACGTCTTGTGTAGGATAGAATCATACAATGAACAAAGTATTTTACATTTAAGTACTTTATTTAGAAATTGAACCTTATTCTTATTATTACTTATATTTTTTAGGATATTTTTTAGAGAGGGAAGATTTTTATCAAGATTTTATCACTGGATATTTTATTTAAATTTCCGTTCGCAACATCGGTGACAATTCGTGATCTTTAAATTAGAATTTGACTGTATGTGACAAAACATATTTTATATATATTATTTTCCTTGGATTCGTTTTGTCGCGATGGATTTTTATTTTTACTTATTTATCTTTTAGAGAGGGAAGATTTTTTCTCGAGATGTTGTCTGAACCCCTATTGACAACAATTGTTGCTTGATGTCGGCGACAATTCAATAAATAATCATTAAATTAGAATTTAACTGTAACATTTTATATATTTTTGAGGGTTTACTTTTTCGCGACAGATTTTTATTGTCAATTATTTATCTCTTAGAGGGGGAATATTTTCTTAAAATATCATTTGAACCTTTGACCATAGTCGTCGCTTAGTATCGGGGATGAATAATCGTTAAATTAGAATATTTGACTGTAAGTGACAAATAAAATACATTTTACACACTTTTTTAGCTCGCTTTTTCGCGACGAGTTTTTATCATTCATTTATTATTTCCTTCGTTAAAATATTTAAAAATAAAAGAA